GGGAGGCGGGGACAAGACCAAACGACGAATCTGAGCACGTTTGTGGCATCCGAATGTGCTCCGGGAGCGGCACGCGCGCCCCTGGCAGGACGGAGCAGGTAAGTGGTCTGCTCCGAGGCGAGAGCAGCCATTTGTGAGGAAGTCTCGGGCGGGAGCGCTATGCCTGAGTGAACGTAGAGGCTATCTCCAGCGAGAGGAGGAACAGGAGGGTGTGGATGAGAACCCGTAGGAAGGAGAGGGGCGAGGAACACCAGGATGAAGAACTGCATCATCGGCATGAGGACGAGGAGGATGAGAAAAAAAGGCGGACGAAGAAGAAAGCCGATGAGGAATAACGGGAGGAGAGGAGAAGGAGTGACATAGGAGGAGATGGAGTGGGAGGGGGAAGGGCGAGAGAGAGGATGACAAGGATGAGGAGGAGGAGGAGGACGACGACAACAACGACGACGACGACGACAAACGATGACGTCGACGATCGTGCAAGCCGATCAGGAGCAAGATGACAACGATGACGCACGAGTACGTAGTAGTTGGAGCCACCCGAACTCTAAAACCCGGTTTGCGGATACTAGACTCTGGCTATATTTGAAGCTCCAGAACATGATGACGCAAGAACATGTTCAGCGATACGCCAGACCAAGCCTACGGACACGTCTGGTGGTGCGACAGGGAGGAGTCATTTATAGGTAAGAGGGATGGAGGAGGAGGCGAAGAAGGAGGGCCCTCCCGTTTTACCCCAAAACTCCCCCTCCAATCCCAGAGCAGGTTGAGAAGAGCTGGGCGGAAGCCGCCGCGCCAGTAGACGCCTGCAAAATCTTAAAATTTTGAAAAAGCGCTCGGCCAGGGCGAGCACAAGCAAGAAGGCGAATGATAACGAGAGAGAGGGGGGGAGAGAGAGAGAGGAGGAGGAGTAACAATGAGAACTAGGGATGCGTGGTGGTGATGGTGAAGACGATGACGATGGCGATGATGGTTCTGTTAACGATGATGATGATGGTGCTGGTTATGCTGATGCTGATGCTGATGCTGATGATGCCGCTTATGATGATGGTGATGATGATGCTGATGACGATGGTGCTGATGGTGATGAGGACGATGCTCATGGTGATGATGATGCTGATGCTGATGATGATGATGATGATGATGATGCTGATGCTGCTGATGATGATGATGCTGATGCTGTTGATGATGATGATGCGGCTGCTGATGCTGCTGATGATGATACGGATGATGGTGAGGATTACGATGATGATGATGATGACGATGATGATGATGATGCTGCTGAAAATGTTGATGGCGTTGCCGATTATGCTGATGATGCTGATGCTGCTGCCAACGACGACGATGATTACGATGCTGATGATGATGGTGTTATTGATGGTGGTGATGATGCTAATGATGAGGACGACGATGCCGATGGTGATTATGCTGATGCTGATGATGCTGGTGCTGACGATGACGATGATATTGATGATATTGATGGCGGCGATGATGATGATGACGATGCTGACGATGATGATGATGCTAATGATGATGATGATGATGATGATGATGATGATGATGATGATGATGATGATGATGATGATGATGATGATGATGATGATGCGATGTGCTGATGATGATGATGAGTTTGTTTTTGTTGAGATGATGCCGCTGATGATCTGCGGATGATGATGATAATGTGATTGTTGATGAATGATGATGATGATGATGTGATGATGTTGATGATGATGCATGATGATGTTGATGATGATGATGATGCTAATGTTTGATGCTGTGTGCCGTTGTGCTGATGTTGATGGATGATGATGGATGATGATGATGATGATGATGATGTGATGTTGCTGATGATGGAGAATGAGGATTGAGGAGGGCTAATGATGATTTATTGCTGGTGGTGGTTGCGTGATGATGTCGGAGGGTTAAGAGTAAGAGTAGGATGGAGGAGGAGGAGGCAGGAGCAGGTGGTGGAGGAGGTGGGGAGGAGGTAGGAGGAGGAGTTGGGGGAAGTGAATATTGAATGAGGACGGAGGAGGAGGGAGGTAGGTGGAGGAGGAGGAGGAGGAGGGAGGAGGGAGTAGGAGGAGGGGGGGGGCGAATGGCCACGTCAGGATGACCTCATGGCGAGAGAGAGAGAGGGTTGAGAGAGAGAGGAGAAAGAGAGGATGAGAGAAGAGAGAGGATGACGAGCGAGAGAGAGAGAGAGAGAGAGAGGAGATGGGGAGGATGGAGGGAGGAGGAGGAGTGAGGAGAGGAGGAGGAGGAGGTGGAGGAGGAGAGAGAGGTGGAGGAGGAGGAGGAGGTGGAGGAGGAGGAGGGGAGGAAGAGGAGGAGGAGGAAGACGAGCGGAGGAGGAGGGAGGCGGTGGAAAGTGCTGTTAGGAACGGGAGGAGGGGAGGGGGGTGAGAAGGAGGGGTGGGGGGGGAACGAGGCAGAGAAGGCAACGCATTGCGAGGAATATGAGCAGCAGCATGAAGGGCAGGAGAGCGGGAGGACAAGCAGCAGCAGCAGCAGGAGCAGAAGGAGAGGGAAGAGGACGAGGGGTGGGGAGAGGCACCTGGCCACAGAGCGCGAGGACGTCTGCTGGAAGCTACAAGGAGACTGGCTCAGCCCAAGGCGTCAGCGGGCATGTTTACCTTGGTTGAGGCCCATGGATCGGAGCCGCCCAACTTACAGGCACACTCGGTGGATGGAGGAGTGGAGGGATGAGGAGGGGGAGGGCGAGAGAGGGAGGGAGGGAAGGAGATGGGGCTGGGGGGAGAGGTGGAGGGAGAGGTGGAGGGGGTAGAAGAGGGAGGAAGGGAGGGGTTGCGGAGAGAAGGCAGGGGAGGTGGAGGGATCAGCAGGGGGGGAGCCGATATTTCCCCTGCCAATCGCAGCCGATCGCGACGCAGGATCGAGGACACCCAAATTCCTGGTGAGCCGAGGCGGACAGGACCCGATGCCTGCCTTGACAATCTCAGCCGATCGCGATGCGGAGTCGAGGACGCCCAAATTCCTGGTGAGCCGAGGCGGACAGGACCCGATGCCTGCCTTGACAATCTCAGCCGATCGCGATGCGGAATCGAGGACGCCCAGATTCCTGGTGAGCCGAGGCGGACAAGACCCGACCGACCTGCGAGCAGGGGGGAGCACGCTGCTGGGCTGAGCTGGAGGCCCTGGGACTGCCGCGCCTGCGCCCCTCCAAGACGAGCACGGGCGCAACTGCCGCGCACGCGGCTGCGACGGCGAGGAGGAAGGCGGGCGAGAGACTGGCCGGCAGATGGTGGGCAGCGAGGAACGTGCCCTTGACCCTGGAAGCAACGGAGCCCTCCGTCGGAGCTGCCTGGCCGGAGCTCCCGGTGACGACAAAGCGGCCGCCGCACTCCGCGCAGTTCGCCTCGTTCTTGCTGCAATCCGCCGACCTCCTTGCGGAGAGGCTTCCAAGTTATGAGCCGTCACGCTGCGTTGGCTTCAGTGTTGTCGCGGTCATGTCTTCAGGGCGAAAGTTCTAGTTGTATCCTGCACCCCCCCAACAAGTCGTCCACTGGCCTCCCACTGGGTCTGCCGCCTCTTCCTGTAAACTACACGGCTCCGCGGCCCCAAGGCCACGACCCCTGGTAAGCTACAAAGGACACACGCTACCAGGGCCACGATCCCTCGCAAATCCACCAAAGGGGTCCGAGCTTCCAGGGCCACGACCCCTGCCAAATTACGAAGGATGCGCTCCCGGGGCCGCTGCCAGGGCAGTGAAATATGGTCCTGGCAGAGCCAGGAAGCGCTGCTGCGTGAGCCGCTTGCTGTTTGTGATGCATCTTGCTGCCGTTTGCGGCTACCTGCTACTGCTTGGTGCTGAGGGCTGCTTCTTGCTGGGCAGCTTCCACGTCTGTGGTGCTGCTGCTTGTTGCCTTTTTTGGCGAGGCCTTGCCTTGCGCCGTTTGGCGAACTGCTGGAACATCTCTTGGGTCCCCCGTGTGCGTTTTCGGCATGGAGGAGGAGGAGGAGGAGGAAGAGGAGGAGAAGGAGGAGGAGGAGGGGAGGAGGAGGAAGGAGGGAGCGGAGGAGGAGGGGAGGAGGAGGAGGAGGGGAGGAGGAGGAGGAGGAGGAGAGGAGAGGAGGAGGAGGAAGGAGGAGGAGGAGGAGGAGGAGGAGGAGGAGGAGGGAGCGGAAGGAGGGGGGGGGAGGGGGGAGGAGGAGGAGAAGGAGGAGGAGGAGGTGGAGGAGGCGGAGGAGGAGGAGGAGGAGGAGAAGATGAGGAAGAAGGAATAGGGGAGGAGGAGGAGGAGGAAGTGGAGGAGCCTCCTGAACAGTCTCGACGCCCTCTGTGGCCGTCCTGGGGGCTCTCTTAGGGGCCCTCTGGCGGCCCCTCCTGGAGGATGTTTTGGGGCCTCGGCGGAGGAGGAGGAGGAGGAGGAGGAGGAGGAGGAAGAGGAGGAAGAGGAGGAGGAGGAGGAGGAGGAGGAGGAGGAGGAGGAGACTCGGGGCGCCTTGGAGCCCTGTGGGGGCTCCCTCAGGCCATCTCGGAGGACTCTTCCAGAAGCTCTCTTGAGCTGTCCTTGGGGGCTTAGCCCTCTTGGACCGATTCGGATGGCTGGGGCCTGCGTGGCTTGGCGAGCCTTCTGAAGCCCTCTGGAAGCCACGTTCAGCCGAGCACAGCAGACAAATTGAACGCCCTGCGCGTTTTTCGCTGCCTGTGGCCTCTCTTGAAACGTGTTGGAGCTTCGCTTGGAGCCTCCTGGTGTATCCTGGAAGCCCACCGAACCGTCCTTGAACCGTCTTGGCGTCCTTTTGGTAGTTCATGGTCACGAGGTTGATGCTAGAAACCCGTTTCGGGAACAACATGAAACGTTGCTGCGAGAGCCGATTGCTTCGTTGATGATCCCAGCTGCCGCGCGTGCTTACTTGCTGCTGCCTAGTGTTGCTTGCTGCTGCTTTCTGCCGCTTGCTCCTACGTGTTGCTGGCCGCTGTTGTTTGCCGACAGCTGCTACGCGCTGCCGCTTGGGCGTGTCTTCGCGCCTGCTGGGGCCCCTCTTGGGGCGTATCTTTGTTCCCAGTATCGCGGGGCCTGTTGGGCAGCCTCGGTGCCAACCAGTCTGATTTCAAGGCCATCTGAAGCAAGCTGGGGGCCTGTTGGGAGCATATCGGGGGCCTCTCTTGAGGGTATGTTGGGGGCCTGTGGGAGGCCCGTGCGGCTCAATTGAGCCGCCTCGGGGCGTCTTGAAGGCCTTTGGGCTCTCCTGGCGCCGTCTTGGGGCATTTGGGGGATCCGATGGAAACCCTCTTGAACAGGATGTGGTACCTTTTGGGGCCCCATCGGACGGTTCTCGGGGACCACTTGGGTAGTCATGAAGCTGAAGCTGTGTTGGGCCGCGAAGGCGAACAAGCCAAAGGAGTGACACACCTTACAGATTTGGGCAATTTTGACTACCTGGGCCTCTGGACTTTTCTTAGATCCAAGCGTGAACCGCTTCACGTTTCCCATCGTACTCCAGACCGCGACTGATCGAGAATCCAACCGCCCCCATTCTCATCTCCAAACGAGAATGACTGTTCGTATCGCGTCATTGTGTGAATCCGAGCTGCCAGGGCCACCGTCTTCCTTGCTCCTTGGCAAGATGCGATGGGTTGGCGCTGTTTAAACCACGACCTCTCGTAAACTATGACGGCCACCCAGTGCCAAGATCACGAACCCTCGGAACTTACAGTAGGTCCACGCTCCCAGGGCAAACATCCGATGTACAGTCGCCGGGCATGACCACGCGTGGCTTCTGAACGCTGCCCACGAGCCCACAAGATGGCCGCATAGTACTCTAGGTTTCGCAGCGTGGGCCCAAACCAGTGGACCCTTGCACTCTCGAACGTTGTGCAATATATGAGATGCATCCCGTGTGTTAGAAGATCGGCGGTGCCAACCTATGCGGTGCAAAGAATGTTGGAAACCTTGACAACTCGACTGCTCGGGTAAACATTCCACCCACCCACCAGACTAGCAAGTTCGCCATAAAACATAATTGGCACAATGACGCGAGGACCCTAACTATGCAGATCCATGGTTCAGGCGGGCGGGTAATGATGGTGACGCCAACATTGGCGACTACGAAGGCGGTAATGATGATGACGATTGCGGTGGCGGTGGCGAAGCTAACGAGGGCGACAACGACGATGAAGACGACGACAATGGGTGTGATGATGACGGCGACGTTGGTGATAGTGATGAAAATGATGGTGGCGCTGGGCGATGATCGTTGAAGTGCACGCGCGCAGACCTCTCACATATTGGTTTGATTGAAGAGCTGTTGTTTTTCAGTGTGCTTTTAAGTATCCCGATCTTGACTGACATGCCTCGACCACCACTTGTTCCGCAGTGACTTCGACATGCGCGCGCGGGGACGCGCGCGTGTGGCCCACATGGTATGATTCGACAGAGCTGGTGGATGCACGCGCGCGGGGAGCGATAATCCTCTGGTCTTCCACGGTATCATCGAGTGTGCGCTCGCAGAAACCTTCAACACATTAACTTGTTGATGTGCTTTTTTACGACGAGTTGAGCACACATCGTTTCTTTGACATGTGCGTGCGCGACTAGCCCGCATGGTAAAATGTGATACGGAGTCTCTGGACACGCACTTCTAAAGTCATGAGTCAAGTCTAACACAAGCTGCGCTTCGCTTTGAAGTCTTGGCATCGTGCATGGTGGGGACGACGCGTGGACCGAAAGGCGGCCCTTGACGTACAGGGCCAGGGAAGTGGAGGGCCACCGCAGAGTCTAACATTCCCCGGTTAGGCTCTGTGCAAACTGCCTCTTACTCGTCTTTGAAGAGCCCGTGGGTGCCCCGCCTGGCCGGCTGGCCTTCCTCGAGGTGCCCGGACTTGCCTGGCCTCTTCCCCGGGGGGACCCGCTGGCCTGGCCTTGCCATCGGGCTGCCCAGTTGCCCGGCCTTCCTCGGGTGGCCCAGCCTTCCTCAAGGTGCCCGGTTGCCCATTGCCCGGTTGCCCAATGGCCCGGTTGCCTGGGTTGCCCCGGTTGCCCAGTTGCCTGAGTTGCCTGAGTTGCCTGGTTGACCTGTTGCCAAGCCATGCAACGCGAAGCAACACAACGCAAAGCAGCTCAGTGCCAAGCAGAGCAAAGCAAATCAATGCCGAGCCAAGCAATTCAACGCCAAGCAATGCCAAGCAATGCTAAGTAGTGCCAAGCAACGCCAAGTAGTGCCAAGCAATGCCCAGCAATGCCCAGCAATGCACAGCAATGACAAGCAATGCCAGGCAATGCCAGGCAATGCCAATCAATGCCAGGCAATGCCAGGCAATGCCAAGCAATGCCAAGCAATGTCAAGCAATGCAATACAACACAAGGCAGCGCCACGCATGCCACGCGAGGCAATGCCAAGCAATGCCACGCAAGGCCAAGCGATGCAACACAACGTTCAGCAGTGCCCGTCAATGCAAGCCAGTGCCTTCCCTGCTTAGATACTTCCGTCGGAAGTCTTCCCCCCTCATTGGGGTCGCACCGGGTTGCTGCACAGCTTGTATGCTGGACAGACTGCGGGTTGCCAGCTGGGGGATGCGACGACACTTACAGGCACGCTTGCTGGTCAGGACACGCGACAGGACGCGAGACACCTCCGACGGCGACGTGGCCCCCCGAAGCCACTGGACACGAGGGTACCCCGCCGAGACCCCGACCGCGGTCGCCCGCGGCCGCCCCGCAGCCCCGCGAAGGGGAGCGCGCGTCGGACAGGACGCCAAGGGTGTCCGGCCGGCAGCGCTGCCCGCGGCGCAGGCATGGCGCGCCGCCCGCGCCCAACTGTGGCCATGCAGGGGGCCGAGCGCGCCCTCCGGGGGCGATCGCGCGACTTGTGGCCATGGCAGGGGGGCGAGCGGCAGTGGTCGAATGCCTTCGGATAATCCCGCTTCCCGTCGCAGTCCGTGGGCCCCGAGTAACAGCACACGCCGGCAGCCGCGGTCCCGTTTCCCGACTGATTGGGCTCGTGGGCAGCCTGAGAAACCAACACCATGGGCTCCAGGGACTTCTCCATGGACTCTTTCCCGGACGCCGTCTGGCTGGAGCTCTCGGGGACGACATACTTACCACCACACTTGGCACAATTGGCCTCGTCCTTGCTGCAATAATCACGCTTCCCGTCGCAGTCCGTGGGCCCCGAGTAACAGCACACGCCGGCAGCCGCGGTCCCGTTTCCCGACTGATTGGGCTCTGCCTTCGGGCTTCCCGTCGCAGTCCGTGAGTAACACCAAGCACCTCGTGGGCAGCCTGAGGGGCTCCAGGGACTTCTCCATGGACTCTTTCCCGGACGCCGTCTGGCTGGAGCTCTCGGGGACGACATACTTACCACCACACTTGGCACAATTGGCCTCGTCCTTGCTGCAATAATCACGCTTCCCGTCGCAGTCCGTGGGCCCCGAGTAACAGCACACGCCGGCAGCCGCGGTCCCGTTTCCCGACTGATTGGACTCGTGGGCAGCCTGAGAAACCAACACCATGGGCTCCAGGGACTTCTCCATGGACTCTTTCCCGGACGCCGCCACTGCTTCGAGCTGGAATGCGCACTCTCCCTGAAAACAGTCCTGCTGGAGCTCCCCTGGGAATGCAAGAGGCCTCCGCACACGCCACAATTCGCCTCGTCTTTGCTGCAGAAGTCACGGCTTGAGTCGCAGTCCGTGGGGCCTGAGTAGCAGCACAGGGCTGGGCCTGCAAGTGGAGGCTGAGCTTGCGCACCTAGGGCGGATAGCTCCACCGCGTTGCCCTCCAACAGAGCTGTCTGGCTGGAGCTCTCGGGGACGACATAGTTGCCACCACACTTGGCACAATTGGCCTCGTCCTTGCTGCAATAATCACGCTTCCCGTCGCAGTCCGTGGGCCCAGAGTAACAGCACACGCTGGCAGCCGCGGTCCCGTTTCCCGACTGATTGGGCTCGTGGGCAGCCTGAGAAACCAACACCGTGGGCTCCAGGGACTTCTCCATGGACTCTTTCCCAGACGCCGTCTGGCTGGAGCTCTCGGGGACGACATACTTACCACCACACTTGGCACAATTGGCCTCGTCCTTGCTGCAATAATCACGCTTCCCGTCGCAGTCCGTGGGCCCAGAGTAACAGCACACGCCGGCAGCCGCGGTCCCGTTTCCGACTGATTGACTCTTGGGCAGCCTGGAACAACACCATTGGGCTCCAGGACTTCTCCATGGACTTTTTCTTCCCGGACGCCGCCACTTGCTTCGAGCTGTGAAGGCGCACTCTCCCTGAAAACTGACCTGCTGGAGCTCCCTGGAATAGCAAGAGGCTCCGCACACTCACACTTCGCCTCGTCTTTGCGCAAAAGTCACGAGGCTTGAGTCGCAGTCCGTGGGGCTGAGTATCAGCACAGGGCTGGGGCCTGCAAGTGGAGGCCTGCGCTTGCGCACCTAGGCGGATAGCCCACCAGCGTGCCCGCCATCAGAGCTGTCTGGCTGAGCGAGGGGACGAGCATAGTTGCCAGCGCTGCAGCACAATTGGCCTCGTCCTTGCTGCAATAATCACGCTTCCCGTCGCAGTCCGTGGGCCCAGAGTAACAGCACACGCCGGCAGCCGCGGTCCCGTTTCCCGACTGATTGGGCTCGTGGGCAGCCTGAGAAACCAACACCGTGGGCTCCAGGGACTTCTCCATGGACTCTTTCCCAGACGCCGTCTGGCTGGAGCTCTCGGGGACGACATACTTACCACCACACTTGGCACAATTGGCCTCGTCCTTGCTGCAATAATCACGCTTCCCGTCGCAGTCCGTGGGCCCGAGTAACAGCACACGCCGGCAGCCGGGTCCCGTTTCCCGACTGATTGGACTCTTGGGCAGCCTGGAAACCAACACGTGGGCTCCAGGGACTTCTCCATGGACTCTTTCCCAGACGCCGTCTGGCTGGAGCTCTCGGGGACGACATACTTACCACCACACTTGGCACAATTGGCCTCGTCCTTGCTGCAATAATCACGCTTCCCGTCGCAGTCCGTGGGCCCCGAGTAACAGCACACGCCGGCAGCCGCGGTCCCGTTTCCCGACTGATTGGACTCTTGGGCAGCCTGAGAAACCAACACCATGGGCTCCAGGGACTTCTCCATGGACTCTTTCCCGGACGCCGCCACTTGCTTCGAGCTGGAATGCGCACTCTCCCTGAAAACAGTCCTGCTGGAGCTCCCCTGGGAATGCAAGAGGCCTCCGCACACGCCACAATTCGCCTCGTCTTTGCTGCAGAAGTCACGGCTTGAGTCGCAGTCCGTGGGGCCTGAGTAGCAGCACAGGGCTGGGCCTGCAAGTGGAGGCTGAGCTTGCGCACCTAGGGCGGATAGCTCCACCGCGTTGCCCTCCAACAGAGCTGTCTGGCTGGAGCTCTCGGGGACGACATAGTTGCCACCACACTTGGCACAATTGGCCTCGTCCTTGCTGCAATAATCACGCTTCCCGTCGCAGTCCGTGGGCCCAGAGTAACAGCACACGCCGGCAGCCGCGGTCCCGTTTCCCGACTGATTGGGCTCGTGGGCAGCCTGAGAAACCAACACCGTGGGCTCCAGGGACTTCTCCATGGACTCTTTCCCAGACGCCGTCTGGCTGGAGCTCTCGGGGACGACATACTTACCACCACACTTGGCACAATTGGCCTCGTCCTTGCTGCAATAATCACGCTTCCCGTCGCAGTCCGTGGGCCCAGAGTAACAGCACACGCCGGCAGCCGCGGTCCCGTTTCCCGACTGATTGGACTCTTGGGCAGCCTGAGAAACCAACACCATGGGCTCCAGGGACTTCTCCATGGACTCTTTCCCGGACGCCGCCACTTGCTTCGAGCTGGAATGCGCACTCTCCCTGAAAACAGTCCTGCTGGAGCTCCCCTGGGAATGCAAGAGGCCTCCGCACACGCCACAATTCGCCTCGTCTTTGCTGCAGAAGTCACGGCTTGAGTCGCAGTCCGTGGGGCCTGAGTAGCAGCACAGGGCTGGGCCTGCAAGTGGAGGCTGAGCTTGCGCACCTAGGGCGGATAGCTCCACCGCGTTGCCCTCCAACAGAGCTGTCTGGCTGGAGCTCTCGGGGACGACATACTTACCACCACACTTGGCACAATTGGCCTCGTCCTTGCTGCAATAATCACGCTTCCCGTCGCAGTCCGTGGGCCCCGAGTAACAGCACACGCCGGCAGCCGCGGTCCCGTTTCCCGACTGATTGGGCTCGTGGGCAGCCTGAGAAACCAACACCGTGGGCTCCAGGGACTTCTCCATGGACTCTTTCCCAGACGCCGCCTGGCTGGAGCTCTCGGGGACGACATACTTACCACCACACTTGGCACAATTGGCCTCGTCCTTGCTGCAATAATCACGCTTCCCGTCGCAGTCCGTGGGCCCAGAGTAACAGCACACGCCGGCAGCCGCGGTCCCGTTTCCCGACTGATTGGACTCTTGGGCAGCCTGAGAAACCAACACCATGGGCTCCAGGGACTTCTCCATGGACTCTTTCCCGGACGCCGCCACTTGCTTCGAGCTGGAATGCGCACTCTCCCTGAAAACAGTCCTGCTGGAGCTCCCCTGGGAATGCAAGAGGCCTCCGCACACGCCACAATTCGCATCGTCTTTGCTGCAGAAGTCACGGCTTGAGTCGCAGTCCGTGGGGCCAGAGTAGCAGCACAGGGCTGGGCCTGCGCCAAATGCGCGTATCCAAGACGTGCATAGGATCACCGCGCTCATAACACACCATGGGGGCGACGCCATTGGAGCTTCACGTCGGACGCCCTGCTGACCGAAATACTAAGGCCAGAAAAAAGTAAACAAACAACTTGAGACAAAACACAAGTGTAGACACTCTGGCGACGGCCCTTATGACACGAGTGGCGTCCGCTAGTTAAGCCACGAATGGTAGACATGCCACAGATGCGTGATCAACTACAACAACTGCTGTCCTCCTTGCTCGCTGTCTCTAACTCACGATGCACGCACATTCATTGCATACAAGATCGACTGGTCGCCAGCCGCTAACGTGTGGTCTACCAGTCTGCCAAATCATCTTGCCCCTATCGGCGTGGACGTATCATGATGGTACGCCCACGACGGATGAGAAAGATGCTCTGGTACAGCAGACGATCAAAAGTTTCGGACGCCGCATCTTGGCGCCAACCAACTTATCGAAACACCGGTCGAAATGGTATTGACAAGCCCTCCCAGAACTATATTGAAACGGGTCTAGCGCTCGTATCGCTATCGGCATTTCATGGAGGATGAGGGGGCGAGACCGAATTGAAGTGGAAACACCAAACCAGGAAATCGGTTTCGGTGCCGGGTCGGGTCGTACGTGCGGGCGACGCGAAGCTGCGCGAGGACGAAAGCAACTCCTGCCCTGGCTAGGCCCAAGTTAGGCCAAAAGGAGTCGCGTGGGCCCGCGCGTGCGTGGAGTTGCGCCCGCGGTTGTCCCGCGGCATGCCCGTGGTTGTCCGGCGGTTGTCCCCTGATCGTCCCGTGGGTTGTCCCGTGGTTGTCCTGTGATTGCCCCGCAGGCGTCCCGTGGTTGTCCCGTGGAATGTCCCCTGGTTGTTCTGTGGATTGTCCCGTGGTCGTGCCATGGGTTCTCCCGTTTGTCCCGTGAATTGTCCAGTGGGTTGTCCCGTGGGCTGACCCGTGATTGTCCCGTGGTTGTCCTGTGGGTTGTCCCGTGGGCTGTTTCGTGGGTGGTAACAGGCAGGACAGGTACAGAGTCCGTTGATCAGGTAAGTAGTTAGATTGCTAATGCGACGCGGAGCCAAGCGCAAACTGAACACTGCACCCTCCCCCCACACCTCCTTCTATGGTCTACGAGGTGCAGAAGGCTTCACTGCCCACCTCCTGCCTCTCCTCAGGCTGCCGCCGCTCTTCCTATCTATCCCTGTTCCTCTTCATTTCGGGGGCGGCCAAGAGGGGAGCGTCCAAGAGGGGGGGCGCAACTCATGGCTGGCGGCATGTGCACGGCCCAGGGGGGGGGGCTGGGGACGCATTGGAATAAGAAGAGGCACCATGCAATCTGGGGAGGTATCATGGCCCCCGCCACGATATCACCCCCCCTAGTCATCACCCCCCTCATGGCCGCCTCCGATCATTATCTCCCTCCTCCTCCTCCTCCTCGTCCTCCTCCTCCTCCTCCTCCTCCTCCTCCTCCTATCCGCCGGGGCGTGGCCTCGGTTAACGACGCGATCTGGTCGAGGCTGTCGGACTTTGTGTGCTTTCTCCAGTAAGCCGACACGCGAGAGCGGGGCCGCAAGTGGAGGATCTGGGCAAAGGAAGCTGTACTAAAGGGGGGGGAAAGGCGGCTCACGCCTATGCAAAGAAGAGACACGCTTCCCCCTCGAACCTCCAGGATTCCACGGGACTCCCTGTGAATGGCGACGATGCCACTGCACAGCTCCTGGACGAGTGGCTCCCGATGTGGGCCCCTGCTGGTCGCGACGCTGTCGACCCGTCTCAGTGGGACGTAGGCGAGAGTGAGCTTCCTCCGATCACCTTGGAGGCCTTGCAGGAATGCTGTCGGTCTTACTCGGAAGGGGCGGGCTTACATTGGGACCAGTTCCACCCCAAGCTGATCTAAGAGCTGCCGCTAGAGTACCAGGTCAGGGTCCTCTCCATCATCCAGGCCTTCGAGGATCGCCCGTCCTGGATGACAGATCTCGTCACGAACATCGTGCTCACTTCGAAACCCGAAGGGGGAGTTCGGCCGATCGGGTTACTATGCTTGTTTATGAGACTCTGGAGTGAACTCAGACAACCCCTCTGTAGGGATTGGGAGCGGGCTTACGATATGGAGTTATTTTGGGGAGGTGGTCCGACGACCACGTGCGAGAAGGCCGGGTGGATCCATCGCCTCATGGGCGCTTTCTGCCGCGCGATGGGCACGGGTAGCGCCACGGTGCTGCTTGATATAAAGAAGTTCTACGAGCATGTACGTCACGCCAATCTTTTTGCTGCGGGCCGCCAGTTCGGATTCAGCTTGAGGCTTCTGAGGGGCTTGTTGACGATTTACTCGGGTTTCAGAACGTTGCTTTTTGATGGGGCCATTTCTGATTTCCTGCAAGCCACGGGGGCCATCATAGCAGGGTGTTCGGCGGCTACGACATTAGCGAAATCATTACTTCTGGGCCCTCTCAGTGCGGTTGTCCACGGCAGGCCCCAGCTGCAGGTTCGGAACGTCGCCGGCGACGTGACCCTCCAGTGCTCCGGCCCCAGCGAGCTGGTGGTTGACCAGCTCCCCTCGGCGGTGGAGCACCTACATCGTTTCTTCGGCGAGCTCGGGCTCCCCGTGCACTTGAAGAGGTGCAATTTACTTGGCCAGCAGCGCGTCTCTGGCCGACGAGCTCGAGAGAAGATGGCCTCCACCAGCTTCAGGGCAGGCTGAGTCGACCAGGAACCTTGGGACCGATGCGAATCTTGGGGCCCTTCGGCGAGCAGGGACCACAAGAGCGCGATGGAGCAAGTCGGCCCGGTCATCGAGGCGCCTCACCAACCTGCGCGAGGCCGGGGCGGATGTGAAGTGGATCCGGCGTGGGGGCCCGACGGCTTCCGCTCTGTGGGGCGTATGCGTGATGGGGGTTCCCCCGACGGAGCTCCACAAGCTGCGCGTCCAGGCGTGCAGGAGTCTGGGCAGGTGTCCCAAAGGGTCCTCGGTGGGCCTCAGGATGTATGCCCTCAGGGATGGTGCCCGAGTGGATCCGTGGGTGATATCGACGGGCCTCGTGGCGTTCCAGTGGGGCACGGGTTGCCGGGAGGGGAACCCGAAGCACCAAGTCCTCACCAAGACCTTGGATATGGCCCAGGCTAGGTGCTCTAAGACCGAGAGACCGTGGGTCGCCGCTGCTTCACCTGCGGACGTTTATCCGTTGACGCTTCGAGGTATCGGTTGGAGCGCGACTTCCGCCCAGTTGCTGATGAGCGACCTTGGCGAGCGCTCAACCTCGTCAGGCTGAGCACGATTAGGAAGTTAGTGGAGGAAGGAGTGAGGCGGGAATCGGATAGGCAGGCGCTCAAGGCCCAGTCTAGCCCTTGGGCCCGCCCCGTTTTTTGGCCTGGCCTGGACCCGCTTCTCCATGGAACGTGGGCGAGCTGGACTCCTCACCAGCAGCGGGCCTTGAGGGCCCTGATTTCGGGTGTCTGGTGGTCTCAGGTCCGATTGCACAAACACGGCCTCGCTAGTAGTCCGAATTGCGCACTGTGTGGCCACCCTGATGGTTCGGTGTGGCACAGGTGCTATGAGTGTGATGCGCACGCGGCCCTTCGCAGGGACCATGTGCCTCCCAAGTTACTCCAGAGGGTTCGGAAGGCCAAGGCCTGGAGTTTTGAAGCGGGGGAACTTTTGCTCGGGGGCTTTTCCCAGATCCTGGCCCCGTTTTCCAGGTCAAACGGCCCGAGGGCCAGCAAACATGTTTTTGGTTTCAGAAGCCTGCGTCTGGCTACTTGTCGGGTCTTCTGTTTCTCGACGGGTCTGCCTTGTTTCCAGCGTCTCGGCTCCTATGCCGAGCTGGGTGGTCCGTGGTGATGTGTGATCGCTTCGGGGATGTGCTGGCAGCAGCGTATGGGCCCGTTGCTCGTGATACAGCTCCCTTTCAGACGTCGAGGGAGGCTGAAGATTTTGCCATCAGCATGTTATGCCAAGTAGCGATGCCCCCGTTCAGCTTGTACATTGATTGCAAGGGTACAATTTCGACGCTGCTGGCGGGGCCTGGGGCTGGTTCCGGGGCGAGTAGCCCCAGGGCCCACATGTGGGCCCCGCTCTGGGCGGCCTTCGGGCCTGACGATTTCACGGCCCACAAGACCAAGGCCCATAGCAGCTTCCAGGACGTGCAAAACGATCGCACGACTCTCTGGGAGAAGCGCGGCAACGATGCCGCCGACGAGTCTGCGAAGCGGGGTGCCGCCCTCCACGGGGTGGAGGAGAGCGAGTACCACCTTTGGCGTGGCCTGGTCGAAGCCTCTCGGGAAGCGGCTCGGTGGAGCGGGCGGCTGCCCGCGTGGGCGGGGGAGGGGGAGGTCGGCCAGAAGCATGCCGATCTCATGGAGCTGTACACGGCAAGCCGAGAGGGCCCCGACGGCGATGCTCCAGCTGCCGCGCCCTCTGGCGAGCCTGTCCCTTCCCCGGGTGCCAGAAGCAGAGGCTCTCCCTCCGCAGCTGCCCTCGGAAGGTTTTGAATCCTGTCGCGATGTCGGTTGTTGCTTCAACGGCCATCCCAGGTTGCCCGCGCGTGTGGCCAGGTCTGGCCGCGAAGACGACAGGTCGTTAATTTTTTGCTGTGCCTGCGGCGCTTTTTTCTCGGACGGTCAGAAGCCCGCGCGAGCCCTGGTGAGGCGGTGCCTTGGTGAGAGCGCGACCGCGGGTTTGCTTGAGCAGCTGCGTCTGATCAAACAGCGTCGTTGGCCATCCTATAAGGCAAGCCTGAAGGACCTGCGGCTTGATCCCCCAGAGGGTGTCCCGCTTTTTCCGTGCGATTGCGAATGGCTGCTCTTTTTGGCCCCAGCGCGTCGGCTCCCGGTGCCTCGGCTCAGGACTCTGGCGTCGGCGGGGAGCTTCGGGGGGTGAGTGCCTTGGGGGGGATGGCGTCCCGAGCCGAGGTGCTGAGGGCTTTCGGTTTGGAGGAGGTGGATCTCCCCGCCCTCCGTGCGGAGGGGGCGCTACTCCTCAAGAGGGACGCCGAGGAGGGGCCAGATGAGCCCCTCGACTCTCTCGAGGATGCCTCAACGGAGGCGTCCGACGGCGGCGG